GCCTCTTTTTGCGCTGTTTTTGTGAACGTGTTGAAAAATTGACAAACTGCACGCTAATAGTGATACCAGGAGCCCTTAGTAGCGAAACCAGGGGCCCCTAGTAGCGTCCTTTGTGACTCAAAACCTTAGGCACAGGTGTGGACACACACACACACACCCGCACGCTTCTCGCGAGTGGCGGGCCACGAGCCGAGCGCCGATTGCGCGCCAGGTGTTGGATAATAGCAACTATCCCAGTCGCTGGGACTGGGGCTGCACCCACTGCGGCGCAGCACCTGGGCGAGATCGCCACGGTTGTTCACGTTTGTTGTTCTGAACATGTTCAGCTGATGGAGATCAAATTTTCCAGGAATGGATGGTGGAACTGATGGTGGGTCACCTCCTGTCAGGAGCTGTAGGTTGTTGCTCCCTCATGGCAGCATTGGAGCGAAGATCATTCTTCTTAGTTTTGTGGCACAAGTTCAGTCCACTGATCCAAGAATAATTTCTCGGACACGGAAGCATTGCAGGAAAATCGTGAAGCATTTTAATTTGAGCTAAGTTGAGTTGTTCGTTTCACTTGGACACAGCAATGGTGCTTGGAGGAAAGTTTCTTGATGTGAACGCCGGATTAATAGCCCCCCTACATGGAAGGTCAACAAGGTTTCACCACTCTCCTGCTGAATCGTTGGAACCTTCGTTTTTTGTTTTGAGGCGATGTGCGGCAACCAGCAACGTGGCAGAGATTTCTCGGTGGAAGATTCGGACGTTCAACTGGGGATGAGTGTGTTTTTCTATGTTTTTTTCCAGGACATCTGGGGTTTGGGGAACTGACCAAATCCATAGGGAACGCATTTGGAATCCATAGAACGCTCCAGGAGAGGATCGAGCAAAACCAGCCCACAACGCCCCAAAAAGATTGTGAGACGATGAATTCTTCCAGAGAAATGAGTGTTTCATGTGCATGTGACAGCATTGCTGGTTCGTTCTTGGAGTTTTTTGGAAGTTGTTTGTGGTTTGCGAGGCAGAAGTGTTTCTTTCGTTCGCATTGTTGAGACAAACCTAGCGCAATCCAGTCTGCCTTGCAAGTACCCCTATAGGTCAAAGTTGACAACCCCCCATGATTGTGCAGGAGAATTTGGTTTTTCCACAGGCCATGCCATCCACTTTCACTAGCGAGTCGGAGTTG